GGCAGACTTTGGCGCCGCGCGACCTATCTTCAGGTTTCTGTAAGTTTGTTCCTTTTCGGAAAAATCCTCGTATGCGAAACGTTAGAATTGGTTTCCAGTTATGACCTTTATCACCTGTCGTTCCGTTTACGATAGGGAGGTTAAAGCTGCGCTTGCTGGCAGCTACGAGAAAACCAGACTCGTATGAAGGAATGGGAATAGGCAATGCTTCCGAGCCAGGAGTGAAAAGGACGCTGGACCGAATATGCCTCTTAGCCACCCAATTACTCTGGAATTTTTGAATAAGCGTATGATTGGCTGCATGAGTAACAGTTCTGCCGTACCTCTTTTTGTTATTCTTTCGATTCCATGGGTCTTAGATAGCATTCGCAGTGGTACTATTCATTGTGATTAGGAAATCTCTTTCGCAGCTTCCTTGGCTTATGTGTCGATTTTGATTGTATTTGAGCTTTATATGAGGCCCGATAGTTTCAAAGAATGCCCACTCCTAAACGTAGATGGCACAAGCCACAGTCGTTCCTACATTGTGCACTATATTTAGACCACTCCTACGCTGTATATACGGTAGTCGCCATATTACTTCAAAAATTCACGCGAAAATTGAAATCTCGCGTTTTTCCGTTTTTTTTTCATTATAACTCGGTTTAAAATTAAGTTTTCAGAGTCTGGAACTCACATGACATGACGGCCGATGGCCTTCGGTCGTAGTTGACGGGCAGCCCGATCAATACGTCGCTATGGCTGTGCACGAGCGTGGGAACGGCATCACGCACCGCGCACGTGGATCGCACGTGGCCGCCAAGGGCTGAGGAAGGCGATCGGCGTAAGGAAAAGGCCGAAAACGGTGAAAACCAAAGTTTCAACTGGGGAAGTAATGCATATCATTCGATAGCATTTTTCACGGGGAAGCTAACGGGGCACATTTCAGGTCTGCGAGTTCATCTGGAAATGCAAAAAATCTGATCTTTCCACAAGGGCATGACGAGGAGGCATTTTCACAGCCACAGCACGGCGGAAGCGCTCGTCTACAAGCAAGTATGTCATCTTATTTCTACACACAAGTAAGCGTACTCTACAACAGTGAAGAGATTTCCCGCTACCTCCTCAGATTTCGGAAAAACCTTCGCTCAAACATTGGAAAATTTCACCAAATAGGCTACTGTCCTGCTGAGAATAATCTATGAACTTCCATTTGGACAAACGCGAGGAGTATATGTATATATTGTAAATATATGTTGAGTATATCTTGAGCGGGGCAGGAGTATATTGTTTAATTCATTCACGGCGCGTCAAAATGACTAGGACATTATTAATCTGAAAAAGTAACCGATCAATTCAGATGGCATCGCGGGACGATGTTGGAATGACTTGGGCGCTTTCTGGGGCAATGCTCTGAAGAAGGATCACGTTGCATAAGCGGATTATATGCGCTCCACGAGCTGATCATACAATGATACAATGTGCACGTACCACTGCAAATAGAATTTGTAAGTAGGGGCGCTCTAGTATCAGCGCAAGCTACGCAAGCTGCGTTCTGACGCGCCTATCAGCCTTTATCAGTTGTAATCACTTTCAATCACCCACCAACAATGTCCCCGTCCCACCCCACATAACACTTGTAAGTATGGTTGCTCTGGTGTCAACGCGAGCCAGGTAACGGAATCGACGACTTTTGCGTTCTAACGCATCTTATCAGCCCTTATCAGTTGCTATCGCTTCCATTCATGTACCACCAATGTCCCGGGACCACCCACATAACACTTGTAAGTATAGACGCTCTAGTACCAATATGAACGACAAAACGAAATTGGCGATGCTCGCTTTCTAGCCCCTCTTATCAGCTATTATCAGTCGTTATCAGTTCCTATCACGTACCACTTGTGTCCCCATCCCACCCCCTATAACATATGTAAGAACCATGGCGCTATCGTTGCTGTGACGCGAGCTACGAATTTCGTGACAAACAGACGCACACACACACAGACATACTTAGCGAATTATATATAGTAGGATAACTTAGAGTGCCGCTATGTTGGTCGAGCGGTCTGTAAACTTGCTTGTGTGTTCTTCATCGCTCTCTTGTGATGTAGAAAGGGATAAACCTACTGCTAACAAAGCTGCGAATTCTCGGGATACTTGTGTTTCGTGGCGTGATGCTGTACTTACTCTATCAACATGTGCAATCGCTATAAAAGTACACACCAAATTCACTTTCAGATATTCACCGAGGTACTGGAACGCTCGGAGAGCCGAGCGTAGTGACATTAGACGTACAACGAATTTGGAAGGTGAGACAGGAATCAACAAATTGCACTTCAAATTAACTTCATTTAGAGATGTTTTGTAAAAATAAAAGCAGAACTACACTAAACAGATCAGCGACCACAGCACTCAAAAATTCAGAACACTGAGGAAAAGAAATCATCCAAGAGTGAGATTAGCGGTGTATGGACGAATTTTCGACGCAGTGGCCTTGCTTGTTTGGGCAACTTGCTGATTACGTTTTCGGCAAATCATTAAGTACAGCTGTTCCTTTGAAGGCCGTCCTGTATTCAGAGGAACGCCAGATACACACGTAGAAGGTTTGTGAGTAGCACAGCAAGGCGAAGAATACCTAAATTGGGAACAATTACAGTTTAGGGCATTGGAGCAAGGTAAAAAAATGAAAAATATATGAATAAGAAAATAAGTTGAAGCGACAGTATCGAAAATGCCTAGGCTACCTTTCGGCACTGCGCAAGCTCTGTTTAAGGGGTGAAAAGCTGCGCGAAAAGGCAAGAGCATGAAACGAGAGGCGCCATACAACAGCTGCTACGGATGGAATGAACTCAGTGCTGCATAAAGGCGCCCTAGCGGCCACATGACCGCCCAAATCACTGGGAGGGCCACATTATTGCTGAACCAGTGTTCTGAAATGCACACAAAGGGGTGTGTTGAACGAACTTCTGGCAGAGTTGCGAGCTTCACACACATCTTGCCATATTGACACTTAGAATAATAGTACTCTATTAAATGCATCGTCATTAGCATTAAGCTGACGAACGCTGCGTACCGAAGCATTGCTGTAAATTTTCAACACATTCATTCCAGATTTTGAAGTGCTACCAGTCAAATGGAGAATCACCGGACTTTTTCTTGAGAACAAATGTCTGACAGCGCTGCCCTTTTCTAGAAATATCTCTTTGTAGATATCCAGCTCGCGCGAACCGCATCTGCACATCGCTCAGGAGCGATTCAGGCGGAGCATTAGCGATGTGGTGTAGCAGAAAACATTAAAATCCTTTTTGTACATTTTTTCTTCGCTGTCGCTGTTCATAAAGCTGTTACGTCTGTTAGATAATGCAACGCTTTCCAAGATCGACGCAGCGACAAATTTCGAAAGATTTTCAACAGTGCTGTGCCTTTTGGTAGGATTGGCTTTTGTTAATCATAAGTTTGGTAGGATGACTCGATTAAGAGTGTGGCATTGCAACAAAAGAACCTTTTCTATGTGAATACAACAATTCGTTGAGTGCAATACGACTTTTTTATTGCTTCATTCTAAAGACACACATGCATGATTACTATATACTGTACGACATCTAATAGAATTGGCTCAGAGAAGTTTCTCTTTCTTCTTCTAGTTTTGCGTAGCTCAGGATCAAACATTTCGAGGGTAATTCCGGAAGTCAGCACTTTTCAGCGGAGCAGCTGCTCTCACTGCTCAGTTTCCGAGCTAATCGCCTACATAAAAAAGTAGGCAATACATTCAAAAGCTGCTTTTTTGCTAGAAGCGATTTACTAATTCCATTTCTATGTGAGTGTTGCTCAGCAGATGTTTTATTCGGTCCGCCATTGGCCAACATTAATTCTAGAAAAGCAAATGGCAGGGCGTTTCTGCAGTGAATCAGAACTTCGGACTTTCAACAACCTGTTTGAATTTCTTGGGGAACAGGGAAAGTGCTTGGCTCAAATCAACCCTCGGAGCAGCGCCATACCTATGTTTCCTCGAAGGAGAACGAATCAAACCACGATGGAATGAGCTAGACAATGGTTCCCGAGAGGGGCCAGTGTCCCTTGTAAGATCTTATTTTCCCATGTCGGAAAGGACTATTGGAGTGGTAACAAATAATAAGCAACACAGTCAGCACGGATTGACGGAAGTCTGAGCAGGACATACTCAGCAACCTTACCGAGCCGAACCTTTGAACTAATTTTCTTATAGATATGTCGATTTACGGACTGATTCGGTCCACGGTTCCTTCAAACTCCTTTGATAGCCATAGCCAGACACAACTCACCATATTGCTTTGATATATGGCCAGCAGACCGGGTGATAACCCAAGGACATAGCCGAAATTTACTCCTAGGATCGCCATGTACCACGAGAAAACAAAAATGATAACGATGACCTTGAGACTCCGAATTGCTTTTTGGCTCTCGCGGAAAGTCGCCGATTCTCCTGGAAAACTTCCTTTTTATGAGGCTCGAGTAGGTCTGTTACTAAGCTTTCAGGATGACTTCTATTCGGGAATTGCTTCTGGTCGCAATTCAAGCATGTAAACCAGATACCTTTAATGCGAACAAGTACGATAATAACTGCATATGCTCCAATAACTACGGTGTTGATAATCACATTTATCGTCGACCAGAAACGAAAGACGTGTGGTGCAAGACCTGAAAACATATTTTATTTCATTAGTCTGCAGTCAGTGACAAAAATACTGGTTTCTGGCACTGAAT